AAAGATACCCAACTCTTTTCAAGGTATTTGTTCCTGAATGACATACTATTCTTTAGAAATTAAAGAAATCTGGTGGTTTCATAGGATGTCTGGTGGCTCAGTTGGTTAAATGACTGCCTTCAGCTCAGGTCATGATCCCAGGGTCCTGAGATCGAGTCCCACATCGGGCTCCCTGCTCAGCGGGGAGCCTGCTTCTCCCTCTGCCTTCTCTGCCTGCCACACCCCCTGCTTGTGCTCTCTCTCTCTCTCTCTGACAAATAAATAAATAAATAAAATCTTTAAAAAAAAAAGAAATATGGTGGTTTCAAATATTTATTTTAGTATATGCGCTGCCGAAGCGAGCACTCAAATATTTATTGAGAACCTACTATGGGCTAGGTATCATGCCAGGCACAGACATAATAATGCTAGCTAGGTTTAAATACTATCATTTTATTAGGCATTGTATGTTTAGAGAAATGTGAAACAAGGAGAGAAATGTACCCAAAGCACATAATAAATTCTATTTAAATACATATATATAGATATACATATGCATTTATATATAACACAAGTATATAGATTTCTTTTTTAAAGGAAACATTCCATTTGGTTGATAATCTGATATTAGCACACTAAAATAACTGGGAAATTTTCCAAGAAAAATCTACTATAAAGCATTCCATTGACCCAAAACATCTGAATAAGGCTGCACCTAATCCATTTAAATAACACACCTGGTATAGTCTTCAGGCTTATTCAAAAGAGTCACCAGGTGAGAATAATTGGAGGCCAGCATAATAATCTTCTTGTGAGGTCCTTTGTAGGTTTGAAGTTTATTTAATTATGATTCCTAAACAAGTTTATGCCACTTGAGTATGATTTCTAAAATAGTCTTATCTTTAGAAAATCCATTAGTAGTCTCTGGCAACCAGCATAGCTATCTAAAACCAAAATATTTTCTAATCCCAATATGATCATGTGGTTGCATACACTCCTTTCTCTATTTGGAAGATTACATAAGAACAGTTTATCCAAATTTACTTAATGGAAACGTGCCTCAGAGGGTGTGTTAGATTACATGATCACATTGATAATCCTAGACTAATAGAAACAGTCTGTGCCATGTAAAAACCCAAAGGTTGCTGACAATTATTTAATGTCTTTGTAGGAAGTTTTCCTTAAGGAACAGAGGACAAAATTTGGCCTGAGAGTTTCTGTGGTTATCTATATATAGATAGAGCTGCCTGAATGGAAATTTTGTATTGCTCAGAAATAAGATCCAGGATTTGTAGTTTCCTTACAATGGAAATTTAGGTACATAAAACAACCTTCTCTTTTGCTTTTAATAAAACTTTACATTCTTTTTACTTATCTCTTTTTGACATGTTTTTACCTGCATATGAGGCAGCCTAAAACATCTGAGTCATTTATATGAACTATATGGATGAGTTGACTCATTGTCTCTGTTTGGTAAGAGTGTCCTAATAAGTTACAGAAAAGTAATTACCAAGGTTTTAGAGGAAAACCACAGAAGAAAAGAAACTACCACTCTCACAGCATTTTAATTAAATCACAGACAAATTAAAGTGTTCCATGCCAGCACATCAACTATAGGCTAACTAAATCAACTCCTCTGCCTGCTTCCTTGGGTATTATCAGAATAAATGCATTAATTTTTATTCATGAATTTTTATACAGTTCTTTCCCAGGCATTGTATATGCATATGCCAAGTGATAAAATCTGGTCTAGAGTAAAATAGAAAGAGAAAATCTGTACAGAAATAAATATAAGGGGGAAAATCACGGGGCATCTGAGTGACTCGGTCAGTTAAGCGTCTGACTCGTGATTTCCACTCAGGTCATGATCTCATGAGTCATGGGGTTGAGCACCTCATTGGGCTCCATGCTCAGCGCAGAGTCTGCTTAAGATTTTCTCCCTCTGCCCCTCCCCCCGCTGGTGCGCTCTCTCTCTCTCTCAAATAAATAAATAAATCTTTAAAAAATATATAAGGGGGAAAATCATCAAAAAGGGAGGTGCAGAAAAATTGCAGTAGGAAGCCAGAGGGAAAAGAGAGTCTTTTAGATAGAAAAAATCAGAAAAAGCTTGATGAAAGTGTTGTCTTTTGCCATGAAAGTTATAAGTCAGATGGAAAGCAAGGGCATTCTAGGAGAAGGAACAACTTAAGAGAAAATATGGGGCAAGAGAATGTGATAGGAGATGGGGTGAGGGACAGTATAAAGTTATATTTGACTACAGTGTAAAGGCAAGTGATGGACAAGAGCTAGAAGGGTTGGTTGAGGCTCAGTTGGTGGCCTTTGACTACCATGCTAAGGTCAAATAATAGATTGTCTGTTCTCCATACTTGGGATAAAGACTGCTATGGAAAACACTCAAAAAGCCATTATTAATTCTACTGATAGAGCAGACATTTTCCAGATAGCAGAGAGCATGAGAGATAGCACCAGAGATATCCTATCTAATCTCAGACATATTTCTTCGGGAGAAAGTGCACATGTAAAACATTATCACTCATTAGCCATCTGAAAGGGAGATCCAAAGTCAGCAGTGATATTTGTATCAGTAGGTTCAGCTCAATTTCCTTTGCATCAACCTGACACTTTATTTTGGCATTTCACATAGGAGCAAAATAAGTTTATTATCTTTAAAATGCATTGCAGTGTGTGTCCTTTGTTTAGCTGCCACTAAATGTACTCTAGAAACAGTGTACTAGCAGAACCAGAGGCTTTTTGGGTGAGAACTAGATATAAACTTAAGATAATATGATAATAGATACTGTGTCTTTTTACTGTATTCTTAATTATAGAAGACTGAGCTTAGAGACTTGTCTAAACAGAGTCTGCATCACCTCATCCCCTTAGCGTCTCCCTCCTCACTCACAGAGTAATCCTCAGTGCTTCTCTGTTCTTAATTATCAATTAAAACGTGCTTAGTGCCCATTAAGTATTGGGGAATATGGCCAAGGGCAGAAACTCCATAAATGTTTATTGAATAGATGACTGAATAGGTAGGTGCGTTAGGCACGAGATAAAGCAACAGCCATGCAATATTCCTCTTCTTCTAGGCAAGAGTTTTACTAGAGGAAATACCACTGGTAGCAATCGAAATCACCTGTAGAAGTGGTTCAAATACTCCACAATAAGTTGCCAATAATGCAAAAGAAATGTCATTACTTGTACATATTTCACAATCAATAACTAATGTCTTATTCAGAAAGCAAGAACAAATTGCCTCAGTGAACTTGCTAGCTCAAGACACTGCTGGCTTAGGGCATGCTTAAGTATTTGAGGAAAGAAGAGCCTCAGAACCTCCTATACTCCTTCCTACTGTGGTCACAGAAAGTCAGACTCAACACTAATCATATATTGGGCAAGTTGGTTAAAATAACTATAACATCAAATTTGGCCATATTTATTTAAAATATAGCAGTAAAACTCTTCAACATTATCAATCTACTGCACCCAATAAATACTGAGCAACTAATATGGGCAGGGAAGTGGGTGAATAAAACAGGCAGACAGGACTGTTACTTTTCACACTACCTTTTCACCTACACCCTTACCTCATATTATCCACCTTCAAAAAAAAAAAAAATCCATATTACAGTTTCTACTTTTCCTATGAGGCTGAGAGTTCTGAGAATAAAGAACTGATATTCTAGAGCTTGAATGGAATTACAATGGAAACTTTCATTCTTTAAACTGGGAAAGTTAATATAGGTATTCTTTTAAAAAGAAAAAAACAAACAAACAAAAACTGGCATTCCAAAATGGCGCTTCAAATTGCTATGATAAAAACACCTCCATGCACTTTCACAGCAGCCCTACCCCTTCAACCAGGAGCCCATGAATCCCATTTTTTTTTTTTTAATGTAGAGAAGCTGAGACAGCAAGAGTAAATGATGCAAGGGGTATCTTCATTTGAGTTATCCCAGAAGGATTCTAGAGCAAGTTGTTTATTTGGGAGGTACAAAGGACGCTAATAGGAAGAGGGGAAGTGATACAGGAAAAGAAATGCAGCCCCAAAAGTGTGTGCTTTTAATCCTGCTCCCATGTGGACAACTGGAGCTTACTCCTGCAGAGGCTGAAAGCTGCTCCTAAGGGGTTTCATTCTCTGGCAGAACAGCCTTCTTCTGTTCTGGGGAAAAAAAACCCTCTTGGGCACAGTAATGCAGATACGGGAGTTGGAATTAGGCCAAAGCACTCTGAAAACCCTGGGAAATATGGACAAGTCACTCAGAACATCCACTACAGGGGGTCACATATATAATATGCAGTAGAACTGGATTTCAATGTATGGTATCCTGAATTCTGGGTGTATGTTTGCTCTCCTGTATCACCATAACACAATGCTTAGAGCGAACATACACTACTTGATGTAATTCTAGGATCCAAATACCATTTGGTGTTAAACAACGAATGCAGATCCACCAAATGACAATAGCCAACAGAACTTGAGTGCTTACTTTGTAACAGGAACTATGCTAAGTATTTCATTTGTATCATCTTAATTTTATTCTCAGCACAATTCTACAAAGTAAAGAAATATTACTGCCTTCTCTACATTGTGAGGAGGAAAGCAAGGCACAGAGAACTTACAGTGTCAAGGAAATACGGCTTTTAAGTGGCAGGGCTGAGAATACAACCCAAGCACCCCCATACTAAAGCCTATGCCCCTAACCATTATTCTCTACAGGCTCCTCTCTGACTGTTTTGGAGGCAGGAGTGGATAATAAAATGAGCCTACAGGTTTGATTATTGGAAAACTATCTGAGAAATTAAACGTATTCTGTGGTGACATCAATGCCTTTCACAGTCACCAAAACTTAATACTACCAAATTCACATGATCAAGACACCTTTACAAATGCACTACATATACTGCTTTTTGATAAAAGCATTCTCCATGATTGCAAGAGAAGATACAAATAAACCTGTATACACTTTATAAAACATGCCAACAACAAAGTAAAATACACAGACTTTGTAAAATAATCATACCTTCACTGTCCACATTCCAGCCTCTGGCTCTCTAACATTCACCACCTTGGCAGAGTTATGGATATTTAATAGCTCATTCAGGCCAAATCCCTTTTTTATCAGCTTCCCTAAAAGACAGACATAAAGGTAACAAGCACAAACTTTATTTCAGCATCGTGCATCAGCTGTATACATTTCCAGTATAAATTACCTGATGGACTATTGTACGTTTAGCTGAAAATATTATTTATATCTAATATAGGTTTAATTTTATGGTTTCTGGACATTGGAACTGAAGTATCAGATTCCCATTTGCCATGTGGATTTGGTCTAAAAATAAGAATAACAATTGGCAGACTGTAATCATATATCCAAAGCCAAACTAGGTAACAATTATTATGGCTACTGAGAAGTTCCATGCAGTCACTAGAGACATTTAGATTTAATAGATGGCAAGAGCAGTAAACCGGAATAAATGCCTTTTTGGAGATCACTCAAGGTATTACTAACATGAGAGCGTTGGGCGTATTTGTGCATGAAACACAAAATGTTAAGCTGTTTTCCATGAAGCACAGGAGGCTTTTGTGGTCATATTTAAAGGAAGCAGTGGAATGAAGTAGCATGATACCATCTACTGACCTGAGGTTTATCTAAAGTATCTAACAGTTGGAATCTAGAGAAGAAGAAAAGCAAATTCAGAAGTAAGCCATAGTTTAGTTATTGACTTCACTCTTGGACTACTTCACTACTATGGACTACTTCTGCAGTTAAAAAACAAATCAATTATAAGAATCCCATGTTTGCATCAAAAGCTTTACACTCACTGTAAATAACTTTTAAAATACCGATGTTACTGTCAATGACTTTTTAAAGTAGTAGAACCATCATGCAATGGATATGGGTATTTTTAATTATCCAGGTGGTGAAAACTACAAATCTTTCCTGGGTAGCATGGATATTAGAAGGGAATGCTACTTCAATGGACAAATTAATTTATCTGTAGGAGTCTTGAAAAATAGGTTTGCTTGTTTCGTACATTTCAATTTGATTGGTAGTATGAATGTGGCCTTCAAGGACAATTTCCTATGCTGTATTCTTTTAGGGATTAACTATTCTCTAAGATTCAAACTGAATAAATAAGAAAGCTAGTTACTCTCTTTCCATTTATAAATCCTCACAAATAGGTTAAAAAAAAAAGGTAACACACTAAAGCCACAATGGAAATAATAATATTTTGCAAACATCAACAGGTAAAAAAAATATTTCTAAATGCAAACAGTAGGGAAAATGAGGTTTCTGTCTTTACTAGATTACTTTTCGATATGTCTTATAATACTCAACTAGCAATGGAATCAGGCCAGTTCTTAGGGTTGTAACATATGATTGGTAAAACAAAGTACATTTTTTTTAAAGACTTTATTTATTTATCTGACAGAGAAAAAGAGAGAGACCAAGCAGGAGGAGCGCCGGGAGCCCAATACAGGGCTCTATCCCAGGACCCTGGGATCATGGCCTGAGCCAAAGGCAGACGCTTAACCGACTGAGCCACCCAGGTGCCCCAAGGAAACAAAGTAAATTAAAACATTATTTTTTTTAAGATTTTATTCATTTGAGAGAGAGAGAGAACATGAGCAGTGGGGAGAGGCAGTGGGAGAGGAAGAAGCAGACTCTCTGCCGAGCAGGGAGCCCGATGTGGGGCTCCATCCCAGGACCTGGAGATCATGACCTGAACCGAAGGCGGATGCTTAACCATCTGAGCCACCCAGGCACCCCAAAACATTATTCTAATAAGAACACGAATGTGGTCTTTAACTGTGTTCTGTAAAATTAGATCTTATCAAGAATATGATACGGTAAAAAACTAGGCAGTGTGGGCGCCTGGGTGGCTCAGTGGGTTAAGTGGCTGTCTTCAGCTCAGGTCATGATCTCAGGGTCCTGGGACTGAGCCCCATGTCTGGCTCCCAGGGAGCCTGCTTCTCCCTCTCCCTCTGCCCCTCCCCGTTTGTGCTCTCTATCTCGCTTGCTTTCTCTCTCTCTGTCAAATAAATAAATAAAATCTTAAAAAAAAAAAACTAGGCAGTTGTTTTAAAAGGAGGCTTTTCATGTTATTCATTAAAAATACATAAAATAGGGTGCCTGGGTGGCTCAGTCATTAAGCGGCTGCCTTCGGCTCAGGTCATGATCCCAGGGTCCTGGGATTGAGTCCCACATCGGGCTCCCTCCTCGAGGGGAAGCCTGCTTCTCCCTCTACCACTCCCGCTGCTTGTGTTCCTGCTCTCGCTATCTCTGTCTCTGTCAAATAAATAAATAAAATCTTAAAAAAAAAAAAAGTGTCATATTTAAAAAAAAATACATAAAATACTGAATTTTACAGACTACGTTACTGTGAAATATTTCCTCATACATAAATTAGGAAAATATAATTTCAGGCTCAAATTAAAATTTTTTTCTTTTGAGTAGTTTAGCTACAATTAAGTTACTAAATATCTGTTTAAATTATTAGGAGTTTCAGTTTTTTGAATCTCATGTTAATTCAATTAATAATTATGACTAAAACAGTTTTATTTTTTTAAACATCTTTCCTAGTCTCTTTTGAATTTACTGAATTATTCATAAAGTTAGCATTAACCTGACATAAATAAGTGTACAAAAACCCTTTACCTTTCATGGTTTTTGTATTTTATTATATGATGTTTGATATATCTCACCTAAAGGATTGCGAATTTCAATCCCTGGAGAAGGGCCACTGAGAGACACAGTAACCTCTTTTAGGCTGGGATCAAAAGGAATTTTCCAAGTGTTTACAGCTTGTTCCAAATGATCTGTTGATAAGAGGTGGACTTTAGAGGACTGCACTGCCTCCTCTACCCATTTTAACACCTATAAGAGAAAAGAAGAAGTGTGAGTGATATCAGAAACATTTATAGTTTTATACAGCAACGACTCCTAGATGCAGTATTTTGCTTTGGTGAATCACATGAATCAGGCACTTCCTGTACTGGTGTGAGGTTTATTTTCATCACAGTGAAGAGCAACCTTTTCCTACACCCAGTTATTGTAGTAGATTCAGAATAAAATGCTACTTTAACCCATGCTCAAATGTCAAGTTTTCTATTTGAAATAATATATTCAAAATCAGATTGTGGTGTCCAAAAGCCAGTTAAGTGAAATATGCAGAGATATTACAGACAGCTTTATATTTTTCAAAAAAAATGAAAAGAACCTGTAAAAAAAAACATGGTATTGCCAATATTGTGAGATCCCTTTTCCTTCCATTCTCTCTTTCTGGATTTCTTTCAATATCCAATTTTAAAAGATAATTAGCAAATTATCTAATCCAATTTCTATATTTGGGTCTCTGAATTATTGGAATATAGTATATAGAATATTGTAATATATATTGTAGTATATTAAATATTGAAAAATAATTGCAATGCCAGCAAAATATTCATTTTTATGATAAAATAAATAAGTACCAAAAACAATGGAAAAAATGACCACTGCGTCTTTTAAATCATAGAAAAATATTTCAGATTAGAACCAATTTAAGTAGTGTATTTTGAAAACTAGTCTTTGGGAAAATATTAAGAAATTGGGTTATAAAAATGTGTTAATGCCTCATGGTGAACAAAGAAGAGGACTTCCAATTCTCAGAAGTGTTCTGCAACAGCAAATTCAATTTCTCACTAAACAAACAGTGCATGTCTGTATTGAACTTACTACAATTAATTCAAAATCATGATAATCTTTAATCTACCTCTGATCTTGCTCTGATACATCTTTCAAGATTATATTCTATTATGAATAATTTCCCTTGTAATTATTCATAAAACACTAAACAGACCTGAATATTAAGCTACAGCCTAACTATTCAAAATAAAAACATTTTTTAAATTACAATAATGGTAGTTACAAATCAATTAATCAAACAACAAATACTGTGCAATAACTTCACTTTCCATAAAAACTATCCCTTGATGTTTGTTCCCAAGGATGAAGAAAGTGGCTAACACATATTATTATACAAGTAACAATGGTAAGGCAATTACATTCATTCATAAAACAAATGTTTATGGTTCAAGGTACTTTTCCAGGTACTGAGCAATTATTTTAGTCAATATTTAGTAAACACTCTTCTTCTCTAAACTAGTATTCACTAAGTTTTTTGCATGTTTTATACATTATTTCATTTTTAATAAATCTTTCTGTCTTTTCTTTAGTGTCAAGAACCATCCACAACTCTTTCATCTTGGTATACCCAATGCCAAGTGGCATGCTCTACACATGATAAAAGTGGGATATGCACTAATGTGCATGAAGTTGGTCATGATGATGATCATAATGATGTCTTCTTAAATAAAAGAATATTATGGGAATTCATGAAACAGGGACCCCCTGTTGAAATAACGTATGTAAAGTGCCCATCATATAGTTGCCATATAGTACATATTCATATTTCTTTCCCACTATATCTCAATTCCTTTCTCTTCCCCAAAAAGAATATTTCAACAAATGGCTTCATAGGCCAAGTGAAAAAAAAATCATGCATGAAAGTCAAATAATATTTCTTGAAATGAAAAAAGAAAGGCAAAGTCATTCCAGATAGAAGACAGGACCTGAAAAAATACACAAAGACAGAAGTATTCCAAATATGTTGGGAACATGATTGAAGCCAAGCAGCTAGTTAAGTGTTCAGAAGAAGGAGAAGCAGAAGATGAAGTTGGAAGCTCGTGTTAAGGACAGACCATGTACTGTCACCAAGTCAGGATATGATCTTTGGATTTTATCCTAAACACCCCAGTGAAAAATTACTGAAGGGGTGTAAGCAGAGGACTAATATACTGAAAGTGGTATTTTACCAAAAAACACTGTATAGTGGTGCTATAGACAAATTGAATAGAAAAACCAAATTCATTAAAATTAATTACCCCTAAAATGAAATTATATATTCCCTCAAATTTTAACCTTATAAGGCACATGGAATTTTACATATGAAATGAAGCATATGTCAACAAAATTGTCTGAAGAAGCAGATGTCCTATTTGAAAAATGGGCTCTCAGTGTTCATGCTTGAATAGAAATGCTCATCAAATCTGTCCATATGGCTACAGAAATCAGACTTGTAATATTTCACCACAAATAAAACACATTTTAATAATCAGAATGTTGACATTTTTATTTCTTATACATAGAACATGGTTGCCTAACTCAAGGAAATGGAAAAGATTGGCTTATTGTCTCAGAAAGCAATTGATAAATTTGACTGATAATAAATAACTTTGAGGATAATGTCTGGCATAGAGACAAAAGAGGGAAGAGGACACGAAAAAATTGGATAAATGAACAGAAGACTTGTTTTAAGGGCAAGACACATAATGTGGCTATAAATAATTCTCAATTGAAAAGGAGAAAAAGAATTAGAAAACAGGAATTGCATAATACCTCAAGTTTAACTATGAAATGCAAGAAATGGAAGAAATTTTTTACACATCCTTCTTTAAATGTATAGTGTATCTCTGGGTGGCTCCTCAAATATATCTTTCCTTCAAACTCAGTGCAGAGAAGTTATAATGTATCGCTGGATATCTATCCATTGTCTATTAGGTATGCATAGAAATCACTAAGTCTTAGGCATTCTTATAAAAATGGAAGAATTTCTAATTTAGTTGCATCTTCATATGGCAAGTGTGTTCAAACGGTATGGAATATAAGCACTTTGGGGTTTACTCAATACCATTTCCAATTCATCAACATTTATGAGGCTTTCACAAAGGGATTACTATGTATCATAACATTACTTGTGAAAGATACAGTACAGACTTCTGAAAAGTCACTTTTTTATCCTCCTATAAGAAAAAATCAAATCAAAAACAGATGCAATCCATTTTGTTAGAAAATATAGATTTTACCATCATATGAATAAAAGTAGATCACTGCAAGCTACAGAATCACCATTAGTGAGGTTTCTGGTCTCTTATATTGTCATATATAAGAAAAAATCTTTGTCTAACCATGAGAAATGTCCTCCTGAGATGGGAAATGATCTTCTGTTTTTTTTTTTATTCTTATGTTAATCCCCATACATTACATCATTAGTTTTAGATGAAGTGTTCCATGATTCATTGTTTGTGCATAACACCCAGTGCTCCATGCAGAATGTGCCCTCCTCAATACCCACCACCAGGCTAACCCATCCTCCCTCCCCCCTCCCCTCTAGAACCCTGTTTGTTTTTCAGAGTCCATCGTCTCTCATGGTTCGTCTACCCCTCCGATTTCCCCCGCTTCATTCTTCCCCTCCCGCTACCTTCTTCTTCTTCTTCTTTTTTTTTTTTCCTTAACATATATTGCATTATTTGTTTCAGAGGTACAGATCTGAGATTCAACAGTCTTGCACAATTCACAGCGCTTACCAGAGCACATACCCTCCCCAGTGTCTATCACCCAGTCACCCCATCCCTCCCACCCCACCCCCCACTCCAGCAACCCTCAGTTTGTTTCCTGCAATTAAGAATTCCTCATATCAGTGAGATCATATGATACATGGGGAAATGATCTTCTGTTTTAATGACAAATGGAACAGAACTAGAATAATGTGAGAATCTTTGCATTGGTGCATTTTTACTAACATAAAAACAGTTTCAAACCACTAGGGAACCATTAGTTATACATTAAAAATTTTAATGCAAAAATGTTTCTCTAATAATTTGTCCCAGTTTATATCTCAAAGGGGGTTTGAGACCATCTAATACAGCTCCTTTATTTTACATATGAGGCAACTGATATTTGAGAGTTCTTGTACCATTTAAACACTAACCAGACTGATTCTAGCTCAATAATTATATTTTATATAAGCCCCTGTTCCTGAAGATACTCTCTTACTTTAAATATTTTGCATCCTATGTAATGATCAGTATTTAAAAGTAAGTTCATGTCTATTCCACTCTGGAATGAGATGCAAGTATTGTTTCAAGGCACAAAACCAGGATACATTGTTATGTATTATGAAATATAATAGTATTAAGCAGAAATGGAAGTAAAATCATTTTGCATAGCCTTCAAGAACAAAATTTGAAAAGCTTTGTTTAGCTGTTTGCAAGAACATTTTTTTCCTTCTGTACTGAAATATAACTGACATGTAATAATGCTATATTAGTTTAATTCATTATTTAAATACATTGCAAAATAATCATCACAATAAGTCTAGTTAATATCCATTGTCACACAGTTACAATTTTTTCTCGTTTTTTTTTTTTTAAGATTTTATTTATTTATGAGTGAGAGAGAGCACAAGCAGGGGGAGGGGCAGAGGCAGAGGGAGGAGCAGGCTCCCCGCGGAGCAGGGAGCCCAATGTGGGACTCGATCCCAGGACCCTCGGATCATGACCTGAGCTGAAGGCAGATGCTTAACTAACTGAGCCACCCAGGTGCCCCAATTTTTTTCTCTTGTGATGAGAACTTTTAAGATTTACTGTTTTAGCAACTCTCAAACATACACTACAGTATTATTAATGATAGCTACCATGCTGTACTTTACATCCCTAAGATTTACTTATTTTATAACTAAAAGTTTGTACCTTTTGACCTCCTTCACCCATGTCTCTCACCCCTCTACCACCCTCCACATCTGGCAACCACCAATCTGTTCTCTGTAGCTAGGGGTTAAGTTTTTGTTTTGTTGTTGGTTATGTTTTAGATTTCTCATATAAATGAGATCATGCAGTGTTTGTCTTCTTCTGTCTGACTTGTTCATTTAGCATAATGAAATATGGCCCTCAAGGTCTATTCATGTTGTCACAAATGGCAAGATTTCCTTCTTACTATGGCTGAATAATATTCCCAAGTACATACATACCACATCTTCTTTATTCATTCATCTGTCA